GACGAGACGGTGGGTGATTTGAGCGGCATAGCGACAGAGGGCGGAGCGAGAAGGACGGGACGGATTAGACGTCATGAGAATAAAGCGTGGCAGGACACAGATAGCTAGAGACAATATATATATATATATAGATGTAGTGGCAGTGGATCTTTCTTGCTTCAGAATTGACCCCGCATAGTTTCCGCTATACATATGTACGTGTACAAGTAATTCGAGGCTATAGTGAGAGAACTAGAAGCAAGCAGTATTTAGAGCAACATAGTACGTGCAGAAACATGCGAAAACATTATTGTTTCGAGCTGTTGGAGTTGGCAGGCGGGTCTTGGGGGAGGAGCAGCCAAATCTCCTGTGAGGGAGAGCTAAACAGAGACTCGAGTACAGGGTTGTCTATAGGTTGAACAACATTAGTTTGCTGATCGGCAAAACGGTTTGACAGCAGCACTTGTTAAAACGATGCACTTAGCGTCTGACAATTATATTGAGCCTGAAATCATCAAACTTTTTTTATTTTAGCTTTTCTTGTCAGATCCTTTTCTGAGATTTTTTCGATTTAAATTTAGCCGATTCCTAAATCCTAGCCCATTTGAAAATAGCTTTCTAACGGGCCCAACACTCATGCTAACACGTAAACACGTCGCCACTATTGTAAGCACGCAATTACGAAACAAATTGATTGGCTTTCATGACCTGTCATCACTACATTCATTATCGCTATCCTATAATACACCGCCTATGCATTGGGAAACGGGTATCTCTCAGGCAAATCTTCGACCCTATAATAATAACTGCCAAATTCCCGCCGTAATAACCGAAGCTGCGGTGCGTTTTTTCGTAGCAAGAATTCTTTTCAGCATTTTCATCGTAATTGTTAGTTATTATTACAGTGCACACTTTGATGTGCGATTTATGCTCATCCTACGTGACGACGGCCCGCAGAGGCTTAAAGTCCGAAGTTAACAAAACATTTTAGCGCCACATTTTAGTTGCGTATTGTTAAATATTGCGGGTTCATCATCCTTGCATATGATTTTCGCCATAGCCGTTCCCCGCTGCTTTGATTGGCGCTACCGCAGCGTATTGGAAATCCGTTTTAAATTTGGATTCCAATTTGGATTCCGTAATAAACGCGATGCCAAGCGAGTCGGAAACATACGCTGTCTGTGTGCAAGGTAGAGTGGATTCTTTTCGTTCTCCGTCTCCTTCTCCCCTTTCTCCCTTCTTTCTTACCAACTTACCATCTCTTTGTGTGTCCCATTCTCTCCCCTCCCCCTCTGTCTGTCTCTCCCCTCTCTCTCTCTCTCTCTCTCTCTCTCTCTCTCTCTCTCTCTCTCTCTCTCTCTTCGGGGAGAAAACGGCGATCACCGCGAAAAAGGTGAGATCGGCCGGCCCCGGCCGCGAGAAAAACGCGATCACCGCGAAGTGAGATCGCCCGTAACCGGGAAGAAACGCGGATCAACGGCGAGGGACAAGGTGACGATCGCCCGATCCCGTCCACCCGGCGCGAAGAAAAAATAACCAAAAAAGCGAAGGTGAGATCGCCGTCGCAGAAGAAGAAAAAGAGAAAGACGGGATGCACCGCGAAGGTGAGATCGCGTCGGCGAGAAAACGCGATCACGCGCGAAGGTGGATCGCCGTCGGCGAAGAATAACGGCGATCACGCGTGAAGGTGAATCGGCCGTCGGTGAGTAAAAACGGCGATCACCGCCAAGGTGAGATCGCCTCGCGAGCGACACACACACGTGGCTAGCGGAGATGGCTGGCGGGGCAGACGATGGAAAAAGTAGGAAGAGGCGAGAGGAGCGAGGAGGAGGAAGAGAAGGGGGTAGAGAGATGGAGGCAATGAAGAGTAGCAGGAGGGGACGTCAAGGTAGAGGAGAGAGGGGAAGGTAGGGGGAGGAGGCGAAAAAAGGTGAAGAAAGCAGGAAGGAAAACATTTCGGAAGCGCCTGAAGCTAAATAAATAGATAAATAAATAAATAAATAATAAATTGCATATCTGAATACACATCTTTCAAGGCTTTCTTTTTGCCCGTTTATTGTGAGGTAGAGCGACACAGGTCGCATGGGATCGTACATCGGGCGCGGAGTCGTGTTGCTAAGCTACATCGCGGTGGCGTTTAGCACATGCGTGGCCGTCTTTAAAGTGCGTATCCCGTTTCATTTATCATTATAGAGCTCCGGTGTTAATTACTTCCCCCATCCCTGCAGCCCGGCCTATCTTGTAGCGCTCCTCTCTCTTTTCTCATTTCTCTCGTCTCTTCTCTCTCTCTCTCCATTTCTCTCTTCATCCATGCCTCCTCGCTCCATTTCTGATTCTCCTCTCTCTATCTGCTCTCCACCTCCTCTCTCTGAGCTTCTCGCTCTCGCGTCTCTCTCTCTTCTCGTCTCTCATCCTCGATTTCTCTCCTCTTCACTCTCTCTTCTCTTCTCTGGGTCTCTCTCTCTCTCTCGCTCTCCTCTCTCTCTAACTGCTCTCTCTCTATCTCTCTCTCTCTCTCTCTCTCTCTCTCTCTTCGTGTCTCTCTTTGCTCCAAGTCTATCTCTCTCCTCTCTCTCTTCTCCTCTCATCATCTCTCGATCTTCTCTCC